GGGGGGGGGGGGGGGAATTCTGGGAGTTGAAGTCCACTCATCTTAAAGTGGCCAAGTTTGGACAACACTGATCTGTACATAGTTGCTAATTTCCTCCAGCCTCCGAGGATGGTCTCTCTCTCTCTCTGGCTTCTTCCTCTGCAAGTCATCTTTCCAAACAAAATACTGAACTGCATTCACTTTCCATGTTTTATTTTCTAAAAATTCTTGAAAAGAGATATTCTTGAAAAAAAAATAGCGATACAAGCAGCAGCATGCAGATTTACAGCACACAAAATTCTATTCTTTTCATTTAAAAGAATCTTTAAAAAGTCATTGGTATCATACCATCTCTGCTACAGTTTGCGGAAATAGATATTTAGCTCCACTTTACAAATATTAAACAGGATCTATGGGTGTTGTGTAATGCAGCTCTAGCAAGTGAATGTAATTTGTAAGTGCGCAAGAAACAATCAAAATAGTACGTTGTGGCTAATGTTATAATTTCATTCAGGTCATGCAGCAAAAGAGATCAGATTGGCCCTTTAAAAACGTGTGATGTCTTTTGGCTTACAACTGCTGTGCAAAATCCATTGGCTGTGGGACAGTATGTTAATAATTGTTCAACTGGTAAGGCCATTTTTTCCTCCTTGGTTAGATTTGAAAATTGAAGTTGCTGTGCATGCTTTCAGTCTGTCTAAATATTAATTTGTCAGTGGGTTTCCATTTGTAGTTTCTGCAAATGGTGGAGGTTCATTCTACATCAAAGGGAGAGTAGTCTATAAGGTTTTGTCAGTTCAAATGTCACTACCTCTGCATGGCTATAGCCATGTTCATAGAAGGGCTTGGATGGCAAAGGGATTATTTACTTGAATAAATTCAGAAGTGTATTAATGTGCAGGCATCTCTTCTTCATTTAAGATATTTCTCTTTTTCATCAGACAAAGAAGCAAACGTATGCTATCAGGAATTCAACATACCTAAATGTTTTCCTATAGAATTTAAACAGTATCTTCCAAACATAAACTACAGCCATGAAATAGAGAGGTGAGAAGTTTATATGTCTGAATAATTTTGGAATAATTTAAATAATTAAGCATTGTCAAATATTTCAAGCAAGTTATGCAAAAATGGCTTGTGTTGTAAAAAAAATCAATGTATAATCAGGACCAACTTCTTTCCCCTCAATATTCAATCTGCAGGCCGTTGAGATGTGTGGTTTTGGTAGCTCTCCAAAACATTGGTCCAGGAGAAGAACTCTTTTCAAACTATTACACAATTATTTCTTGATGGTCAACTGTGAACTTTTATGGTATTTAAACCAAATGTTGTATCCTTTAACAAAGAATTATTGAAGGTACATGCAGGTAAATATTGACTGTCAGGTTGTGCCTGCAACTATATATTTACTAAGTCAACCTTGTTGGGTTTATTAATAGAGACAGCCTATTTGGAACCTTTGGTTGAAATTTAAACTTTGTTAATTAGTATGGGACATAACTTATTTTTTTGGGAAATGCCTGTTGCACCAAGCACCAGCTGAAAGAAAGAAGAGTTCCCCAGTGTAACAAGATCCAGCACAGAGACTCCCAAGTAGTTCTTTGTCTCCCTCTGTTGTCCTTTAATAGACTCATATTTTGGATTTTGAATGGTTTATCATTTCTTTTAATATTGTTAGAAGAAGCTTGTCCATATAGTATACTTTAAAAAAAATTAAACCAGAGAAGTGCTTAAACTTTAGCTGCTATACATTTTATAGACTTGACATGTTGCATGTGGTAACATTCACGTGAAATAACTACCCCTTTATGAAAAATGTATTTATGTCTGACACTCAGAAACAGAAATAACAAATCCATGTGCAGAAATCATGTCCAGGCTGCACTTGCAAAACTCTGAAAACGGGACCCCGCACCCCACCCATTCTCTAGACCTATATCTGCAGGAACAAATTATATTGGAATCCTTACTCTCATCAGAGATTTGGAATTCTGTGCAGAATAAAAGGCCAAACCAGTTTAGATGAGTAGATAAACACTTTGCTTTCAAATAAATATGAGTTTTGAGGTGGTTTTCCTTAGATATCCATTAAAAAGAAATGGAAACAAACCTATTAAAATGGAAGAAAGTAGATATTGATTTGTGTCCATTTTAAACTATTTTTTAAAGCTATGGAATTTAGGTAGACTTCTGAAAATACTGTTTTTTTCAGTGTGATTGTAACATTAATCTACATTAATATCTCCCTTGTAGGCAGTTAATATTGTTGACAGCTGTTGATATGAGTGCTACCTATCACATTCAGATTTACCAAACTGCATTGCAAATGCCTAATTATAAAGCTTATGATTTTGCAATTTCATAGCTCAGTCATGAATTGCTTAATGCACGTATTTGTGAAGTCCACTTCAATATTTTTAGGCTGTAATCCTATTCCCATTTCTCTGGATGTTATTCCTATTACATTTAATGAAGCTTACCTCTTTAGTTGATACACAAGAACACCCAGTTCAGTTAAATTAAAAAAAAAAAAAGGAATTCTTGATGTATACAATGGAATAAGGCAGGGATGTATCCTGTTTTTGGGGTTGAGGTATATGATTACTTCCCATTTATTTAATAATATTCCTTCCATCACATTAGAAATTACACTTCAGGGAAGCTTTTAGACAATCTATACATCCACAGCTTGTCAAACATATTCATGCCGTGCAAAGAAAAAGTGGAGCATGTTTACGGCGGGTGCTGCTCCTATAGAGCGCTGGAATTTCATTATAGCAAATTAAGCCCTGGGCAGGGTGGTGTTGCAACTCATTAGTTACAAATGCTTTATCCTATAAGATGCTGCACTTAAAAAAAAAAGTTACCAGACTGGACTTGGGGACTCTCAGTTCGTAGTACTTTAAGAGATACAGCATGGATCTACTGGTATGCTTAACTGCCATGGCACAGAATGACGCTCTGTGAAATGTGGTGAAGTACAAATATAAGCAGCAAAATAGAACCACCTTGACCAATAAGGAATGCTGCTTTCTATATCGAGATCTGTTGGAATATCGCTTTCAGTTTCTTCTCTTGACAGCAGGTCATACCGATCCTTTATTGCAGGTGGCGTATTCTTTTTCCCATGTTCTTTTCAACAGTAATAATATAGATTTTACCATTCAGTTTCCATTTCTTTGTGATTGCAAATGGAGTATTTGATAACTCATTTTAAAAACCTTTGTCTGTCCAAACATACTAAAGGGACAAATAATGTTGCAGAAGCATGAAAACTTTCATAGGAGAAAAAAAGGTTTCCAGACATTTATTTCTGGAACTGTACACCAGGTATTAAAGTACAACAAATACAAAATAATGTTAAAAAAAATCAGTGTTTATGTACAAATATTAAAACCAATGCGACAATAGCAACTTCCTCTTAAGCTTCAGATACTAAAACTGGGTTGCGATTGTCACTAATTTATGCACAGGGTGAAGCAATTTGAACCTAGGAATGATGGACATGACTGGTTTCTTCAAGGTGGACTGCAGTCCTCAACTGGTCTCAAGCAATAACTAGAGTACTCCACCCCCATGGGAAATCATAATCATGATTCTTTGCACAACTAGTTTCCCATTTATAGACAATGTGCTTGTAACACTGGGCAGTCTTCTAGTGGTCAGGCTATCTACTAATTTATATTCAAATATTTTGTTTCAATTAAATAGTGTAACTAATGCACAACTGGCTGTGAACTTAACATGGGTCTGATTATTGGTTTAAAAAAGCAAAACTGCACAAAATCTAACAGTACAGAGTTCAGTATACAGAGAGTATTGTGCAGTCTTTAAGTAAGGTTGGTCTGTCTATAAAGAGAGGAAAAATTAACATTTAAAAAGCTATCAATGAGAGGATGAAATAGCTAACAAAAGTTGCTCTATTGCAGCACCAGTTGCAATCCAAGTGAATCAACTATTCTTTTTGGAGTCCCTGTAAGTGATACATCTACAAACTGCAGTTGCCCACCATGGATTTTTGGTTCATACAAAATGGGATTGAGAGCAGGGGAGAACAGAGAATATACTCAGCAATGAACAAGGAAGTCATCACAGTTTGTTAGAAGAATTGTGCTTTACCTACAATGAATCAATGCAATGTAGTTTTCACATGGCTGCAATTTAGCCATCTTCATTCTGATTCAAACACAATTCTTTTAATAAACAGTAACAACTTCTCCAGTAAAATGTTTAAAATAGAGAGAAACAGTTTAAGTCCAGCTTTTAAAAGAAAAATTCAATAAATAGTTATTTTACATGAATAAAGTCATAGTGGTACAAATTTATGAATGTCACATCAAGCATGCACAAAATGTTACTATACACAGAAGTAGTCAGAAAATATTGAAATAGATATCTAAAAAGATATGCAGAATGTACATATTTACATAATCTTGCAAATTATTGCCTCATTTTAACAAGGAATTAAAAGTAAACATTACCAGCTAGTTAGCCAATAGGCTAAATTAGATCAGCAATTAAAAATCTATTAAAACTAGCCAGAATTCATTGTTCTCTCATACCATTTTTAGAATTTTGGTCAAAAGTCTTTATTAAATAACTAAAGTGTCCATTTAACTTGCTGACAATCAAAACTTTAGACGAGAAACTAGACTGTCTCGGTCTTCATTAAGACCCCAGCAATGCATAGATAAACTGAACATAGTACTGCATCAGCTGATGAGAATGGGTGTGTTCATTTAAGTGCAACTGGTATAAGCATTCATACATTTTGTGTGATGATTTTTATACAGACCAGCCACTGTAAACCCATAAACATGAATGTATAACAAAAAGAAAAATATGGCCAGTATTTTACAAAATTAAATAAGATGTGTTGATTCAAAACGGGGGGGGAAAAAAACCCAAGATACAGCATTCAGCACAAATTACAGCAACAAGAAGCTGACAATTTGACTGGAAGTATCAGAATATGACACAGGGCCAAGGCTACCCATTATTGACTGTGTACTGTATTAGACTGACAAGTTTCAGAAGTATACTTTACAACAGATCACCATTAATGTATCTACTGTGCTAATTCCTAGAATGGTTAAAATGTGCTATTTGAGGACCTCTTCGAAACCTCTGTCACAATTCCATAGAGAATACCCAGCACTCTGCTATTGCTCAAACTCAAGATGCTAATGCAATCTGTAGAAATGTAGAGTACGCTCTCTTTGAAGTATTAACTAAGGTGTCTTTTTTTCTGATATACAACCATGAAACAATTTACTATCAACACTGAAAAAAATACTTTTAAAAATCAGTTTAAAGAAAAATATGTATAATTGTCAATGCAAAATTGGCAAGCTTTATAACTGATAACCAAAATTTTAGTAAACTTTCACAAATCTTCCAACACAGAACAATCTTGTCAAAGGTTTCTCTCTGGAATATTAACGTACTTAAGTCTGAATGAATCCGGGGGGGAGGGGGGGAACAAACTACACCAGTGCTTGAAAATTGTTCAAAGATCTATGGCATCATCACCATCTATTAATCTAGAGTTTCTCATGCTATTTTGAACTGCAGTGTTCTGAAGTAGCGGCAAACCCCAAGATTTAATTCATTAGTGGTAAATCCTCAACTGTGCAGACTGTACCATTCTCTTAAGTGGCCTTAAGCAATGTTAGATAACACTTGATGTTTTCAGATTATATTCCTCAGAAGTGTGGCCATCCCCCCACCCCAGCTCCAACCACACACATTGTTTCAGCCAATACATTAAAGTACACAAAACCTTTGGACAGTATAACTATCTTTGTGTAAGGTAGCCATGGCCTGTAATTTTGTAAGAGCATCTAAGCGTGTCCTCAGACTTTGCTCCTACTGTCCTTTGTGCTAGTATCCATCAAGATGAATCTGTGGTTTTCTAAAGTGAAGTGCTCTGGCTTAATATCAGATGACAGAAGGGTCCATTTAAAAATATCCTTGTGTAGTTGTGCAGTTTAAATTAAAGAAATGTTTCCCTGCTTTTGATTTATTTTTTAAATGCTACATTAAGCAAGGATCAGGATTGGTACCTGTAAACAAACGTTATTCCACTGCATCCATTAGGGCAGAAGCAACCTAGAATAAAAACCCACTCTAATAAGTTCAGAACTTCTGTGCTGGTTTTGAGACAGCAGTCTCTCTACAGGTTTAAAAAGAAAGGAAGCAGAGCTTAAAGCTGCACCACATCGTTCTCTTAGTCCCGAACTCTGCTAGATATTATATGAAGTTTCCACATTTATGGATTGGAAAAAAGTGAAATTATTCTTGATAAATCAAGATATAGTTCTGTACATAAAGACATCACTGATGTCATATAGTTCAAACTTCCAGTGAAAGACTAAGCAAACCTGATCAATTCATCAAGTTTACCACAAACTGCCAACAGTATTCACTGTCTTTAATTTGCTGCTTGAATTCATTCTGAGTGGAGGGCAGTGTGCTGGTGTAACGCATGGGCACTAATAAAGCCATTGGTCTCATTTGCAGATAGACTGCTGAAGTCAGCCACTGAGACTGCCATTTTGGCACTGGTAATATGATGTGTATGATTCTCAAAATCAACACCCAAGTTGTTTACGGAAACTTCATTCATGAAGGATTCTGGAACTGCAATTCCCATTTTCAATCTTTTGGCAGGCCTTTCAGATTCTTCACTGCACATGTTCATGGTGTTTAATTCAGAATGATAAAATCCAGTCTCAAATAAATTAAAACAATCACTTTCACCATTACTAGGCAAGTTAAGCAAATCTTCTGTTACGACAGGCACATGATTAACTGCTGTTCGGGGCAAGCTGTCCAGAGGTGGGAAGGCATCTTCTGAGTTCACATCTGTAGGATGGCAGACTGTAGCTACGCTGTTGGTCAGTGCTAGAAGAGAGAAAAAGATGTTACACAAGATGCCACCATTTCCTAGACCTACAGTCATAGTAAGCTCCTCTATTTTATCTTTTAATTTACCTGTCAAATCATTGGCAGTGATAGAATTCAGGATGCTCAGTTGTTGATCAGGAATGGGCTCTGGTCTATTATTTGACATTATGGCTGAAGAAACTGCTCCACCTAAAGCTTCTGCTTCATCTACCAACCGATCCATATAGTCCCTGCAATAAAGTGATCATAGGTTATTTAACAGATTCCACTTGGAAGGTATAATGGTGCACTCACATTATTAATGATGGGAAATTCTAAATTAAGCACAAATGCAGATTTTCCAAGGTCTTTAAACTTACGTGACTCCAGGGTGGTGGTTGTACCTCTTTTTTCCAAATCTTGTTTGCTGAGCAAAATAATCGTATCGTTCAGATTTCTTCCACATGTAATAAAAAGCTACACATTCAGCAACTGTCCTGGTTCTCACCTAAAGAGAGGAAGAGTTAGCCTTAATATTTGTGGTAAATTCTTATGGGGAAGGAATACAAGAAATACCTGGCAAATTGTACAATACTTGGAAGGCTTTGAATTACTAGTTTGATTCCAGGTTAACAGTGTGAAACCTCTATAAGTACCATCTCAACTGTTAGCACAGAAGCAGACAATGAATTTACTAACTTAAAATGGAGGTTTTCTGTGCAAGTACTTTATGTTTGTCATTGCATGTTCCAAAACAGTTTTCATCTTCTTCCTCAGCAGGATATTTTAATGGGTAACAGTAGAAAGTACTCTCTTCTAAATATGAATTAAATCTTATTCAGGTATTCATAAATTTCATCTACTCATAATCACATTAAGTGGCAAAATCAGAAGGGAGATTGCAATCATATTCAGTTGTATAAAGCTACAGTTGTCCCCATTGATAGCACAGGATTCAGAACTACCTACAGAGTGGTTTGGGTGGTATGCGCATATGATATACAGTTTTACAGTGCAAAAATACAGATAAAATCTATCTTTAAAAAAGCTTGCCATATGATTGGAATTTTGCCCAAAGCACTTAACTCTTATAAAAGCAATGCTGGGTGTAAGAAAAATCTAAATCCTAAAATATTTATTCTATCTCTTAAAAATATATTTCTTAATGAAGCTTCATAGTTTTAAATATGGTTCATTGGAGTTCTTTATGGATTTGATTAAATCTCAGAGTTTTGGATCTTGGATAATAATGTCTTATTCAACATTTGGACCATAAGTAGCTATTAACAATGTATTGCTTTTTTTTCTTCTTTATATCATGTTATATATTGACCCTTATAATTAATAATATAGTATCCTTTATCACCTTTAGTTTTAAATTTTAAAAGTGCTTTGTGCTGTTACAAATCGTTAAAGTATTAAAAGTAGAAGGCAACAGAGTATAATATGGTTTTGTATGCTGACTATTACCTTATGAAGTACTGATACAGCAGACATTTCTATTCCTAACCTAACCTAATTTAATTAAAAAAAATTAATACCTTGCCCAGTTATTTATAAACTAGATTTGATGCCATTTGAGTTCTACTAATAACCTGTTATGTTTAGGTGCTGGGGTTCAGGTGTTACCCTGGAATTATTCTAATATCTAGAAATTTATTTACAGGCTCCAGGTACAGGATCTAACAGCTAAAGTACTGCTCATGATGTCAAAGCATATCAATAAACTGGCAAAAAGGGCCCTGCTCTCACAAACTGGTGAAATCTTTTGCTCTGTCACATAGGTTTTTCTGTTCACTAAAGGACTCAAATAATTTGCATCTTGAATTCTTCTTATGCCTCAGTGAAGGATATCAGAGTTTCTGAGATATTTAAAATTATTAAATGTTACCTTGACTAACAATAGTTAAGGATATAGCACCAAATCACCACTTCCTCCTTGCTGTGGATAAGCCACAGACAACTCTGATTTTGGAAAACATCCCTCTTTCCCATTTACGGTTCATTCCAAATGAAAACTACATTGCTTCTTGCCCCATGTAATTCAATGTTTAATAAAGATGTGGAATTCAAATCAGAAGTTGCCCCTCATGGATGGACACCCCTGGACTCCAGTAGACCAAAGGCAGAAGGCCTTTTGCCCAGCAGAGGGTCCTGATAACAGAATGTGGGGTAAGATAATTCCACAGTATTCTATAGAGTGGTGACTGCCATTAAGGCCAGTCACCTACTCCATACTTAAAATACCTTGAAAGGGGGAGACCCTCAATAGGCTCTCAATGACTAAACTTGACAAGACTGGTTCAGGACTTCTATGACATCTTGAGCTCATCCCAGGGTGGCTATTTATAGCTGGGTATTATCAGTGTATTGATGATACCTCACCCTGAAAATATTGGTAAGAATGTAAGTAGTACCCTGCTGGATCAGACCCTTGACCCATCTAGTCCAGCAGTCTGTTCTTACAGTGACCAATCAACTGCATAAGGAAGCCCACTTGTTTCCCAGCAGATGGCTTTCAGAGGCAGTCCCACTGCCATCAAGGCTAATGCCATTGATCCCAATGACTTCCGTGAATTGGTGTAACCCTTTCTGGAAGCCAGCCTGGCTGGCAGCCAGCACCACAGGATGACCTCTTCCAGTGGTTTTATGTAGAAGTTAAATAACATGGGGGAGAGCATCCAAATTCACGGAACTCCACAATGGTATTCCCAAGGGCTCATGCTCTGCCCCACTATGACCTCAAGTGGAACTGCTCATTTAGGCAGGAATGGAATGACCACAGAATAGTAGTCTTAATTCCCAACCCCAGGAGGCAGTCCAGAGGGATACAATGGTCAATGGGTACTGAATGTTAACAGAGTCTAACTGGATCAAGAGGGCCACATTCCCCCAAACTAGTCCTTGACAAAGGTATTACCAGAGCAATCAATGACATTTCTGTCCCATGATCAGGCTTAATATTGACAGAAAACGATCCAGATAATCCATTTTCTCTAAGAACCTCTGTATCTGATTTGCCAAGACATTCTCAACAGGTCTCTCTAAAAAGGGAAGGATGGAAATGTAATAAAATTTATCAAACAAAGTTGGATCCAGGGAAGGCATCTCCAAAAAAGGGCACATAAGGAAGGGAGCACTATGCCTTCCTCCAGACATTGATTATTTCCAGATTTAGTTGCTCATGGCCTGCCTAACCACCCAAAGAAACTGGAAGGGGCATGAGTCAAGCCTGCAGATGGCAGAATTCAAATTACAGAGAACTCCATCCACTTTCTTGGGCTCAACTTCCGAAGAATCCCAGATTATAACACAAGATATTGCCTCACTTAGCACACTGGAATCTGTGCAACTGATGACCTCCCCAGAGTGGATACAAGTGACTTTAGCCACCAGGAAGCCCCCCAAAACTCTCCAGTAGCCTGAAGGCATTTTATCTTGCCTATCTTTCCTCAGAGAGTCCACATTACTCTGTATTAGGCCACCAAGTAGGAGTCTGTGGCTGCAGTAATCACAGAAAATAACTGACATTTCCCTGCTCTTATCACTTCCATGTGGACTTGGTGGTATCCATTTCTGGTTTTCCACTACTATTGCTGTAGGTGTCTTTTCATTCACTTATTTTCTCTTATCTTAGAAAATCAAAGAATCTCTTGGGTTCAGAGAGTTTATTAAAACAATCTCATCCAGCACTCTTGGCTGCCTCTGTATTCCAGATTGACCAAGTGCAAGACTGAACTGTCAAATTAGTATGGAAATCCACAAGGACCCTCTGTAAACCTGTGGATCCATTAGGAGCTTAAAGTAGTCCAATCTAATGGATCCACTGCTCTTGCAAAGCCCAGAGCTTCCACAATCTACAGTTGACAAGGAAGTGATATAACTACAGCAAAGGGCAATTTCATCAATAAAGTCAATGTTTTTGGAGTAGTTCTACTTATAACATTAATTTTCCAGGTCCTTTTAAAATGTTACGATTATATTTGAAGCTATATTCTATTCTTAACATTGTTGTACTTTCATTTTGTTAATTAGTTCTACACAGTAAATTTATTTTCAAAAAGTCTCAAGTGATAATTTAATGTTCGTATAAAATAGTAATATTTAGACAGAGTCTGACTCATTTACTAAATGGGCATTTCACATGCAAATGACCAATTAATGATACACTGGAAAATTATAATCTCTATAACATTTGTAAATCTCCTGTTTATTAATTTGTATCCTACTTTTTTATCCCTTTTGTTTATTCTTTTTCCTTCCCTGTTTATCATATTTCCTCTAGTCTAATAAAAAATATTTGTTTAACAAACCAAATAACTAGTTGACAAAAGTACGCTGTTTATGTTGTTTTACATATTATATCCAACTACTCAAATTTTAACAACTTTACCATTTATTGCATCATTTGTATGCCTGCTTACCTTATTTTTTTGTATAAGGTGAAAATCTTTCCCATATATCAGAAGTGCATGTTCAAAGTTTCTACATTCTTCTTCTGTCCAAGCCGTCATATCTTAAGAAGGAGAGAAATAGAGAAACTAATGAACATTTGATATTTTGACAAATCAGCAGGCGTTTGGCCCCAACGTTTGGAAAATAAAGAGAACCTCTTCAACAAAATTGCCTAGTTCACACAGCAAACTAAGCCATAACATGGTTTGCCTGGTTTTCGCTTACCATGTAGTTGGAAGCCACTATGGTTTGTACGTTTATGGCTTAGGCTGAAGTGTGAACTTAGTCAATAATAGTAAGCCACACGTGGAAATGGTATTCTATCAATTGCAGCAAAAGTCCAACAAGCCGGGAAGAAAAAAAACTAGATCTAATCGTAGATCTAACGATGAGGTCATGCATACATAATTGCATATTTCATACAATTTCATTCTTTCAACCATTCCTGCTTGCTATCTGAATAGTGTTGCACCAATTATCAAGTAAGATTGCTGAATGTTTGTCTATAAAAACATAATGGAGTCAAGTTATAGATCAAAGCTTTAATCTTATACAACAGAATCTCCAAGAATCTAGATGTCTTCTTCAGTTATCTAATTATATGGAATTCCAGCTGTTACTGCTGTATCACTCTGATTACTTTGCTGAAATCTGTTCTGCTGCTAAAAAAAATGAACTGTACTGAATAAAATGATCATCTCAATCCACTCCTGCACTTTATGATTTAAGATTATTTAAAACATTAACCACTTGATAGAGAACTTACCCTGTGATGTCTTTCCATTTGAACAATATTTCTCAATAGCTTCCTTTAAATTGTGGTTACACTTGAAGAGTTCATAGAGTGCCTAGTAGAGATTGCAATGTTTCTTGTTTAACCAGTAAAAAGGAACATACACAAATCAGCAGCTACATTCTCATTACAGTCAAATGTTTCTATTACATTGTTACTTAGCCACTTCAAATAAAACAATGTACAGTGTTAACAGATACTAGGTTGGATCAAAATTTCTATGAATAGAAAGACTTCTTCCATCCACTAAATGCTGCTGATCCAGCAGAAAGATCCTACAGGTAGAACACTGTGGAAGAAGCTTGTCTACACTACTTTCTGTGCTGTTTTGGAGGGTCTTTCAATTCTCCAGAACAGATTGCCAGCTATCACTAAGAGAAGGTAAAATGGCAAAAGTCACCTCCTTCTGCCATCAATGAAATGAACTTCCTATGTGCATGGAGTGAAAGGGTGGGAGGGAGGGAAGCAAAGGACAAAATATTATTTAGAACATTGTGAGAGATGCCCCACTGGGAAAAGATAAACCAATGAACATTGCTTTCTTCTAATCCTTTCTCTAGCCAGAATCTCCTTGGATCTCCATTCTTTTGAAACAATAGTAGCAAAAATGAAACAAATTCTTCTATTAACAAAATAGCTTTGACTCTTTATATACATTGTATATGGGAAAAAGCAAAAAAATTAAAATGTCTTAAAAGTCATAGAATAAGATGTTATATATTAACTTAAAAAAATAGAAAAGGCAAACATTTGTCTTTTCTCATACATAAGCATAAAAAAAGTTAGAATGGCAAATTGTACAGAAATAAGATTAAAACATACTTGTTCATTGTCCCGGGTATGCATTCCATCAGGAATTCTGCCAATTATTTTTTCATTTCCAGTTCTTACAGAAGTTTCAAAAAGGTACTCTTTAACTTTGGTTTCTGAAATAATATCAGGTTGCCAAAGTAGCTGGTCCTCATTTTCATATGCTGTTAAGAAATATTGAAATATGGATGAGACCAACTCTCCAGTATGCCAGCAATCTCCAGTAATCTGGAGAGTAATATGTAAAAAGAAATACACAATTTGTAAGGATCTGCCTTAAAACTAACATTTTTATGACCTGCACTTGGGGAAGATAAAGAACCGATTGTGATTTTCCTCTGGGATATCTCTCTTCAGTGTCCTTAAGGCTACACATACTCAATTTCTTTAATATCTGTGCAGAGATATATTGTTATACTCTTGCTATTGTTATACTCTAGCTCTTTGCTATCTATATATATATGATACCACAAACTATATTGCTTTTCAAAAATATCAATTGTAGCATTTTTGAAATTTAATAAAATAACATTTTAAAAAAAGAACTATATTGGTTTTTATCTATGCAAATGTTTAAGCATCTCATTTTGTTGCAACCTGCATCTTCATATTTATCTTGCAGACTTTCTACTTGCAACTTATTATTAGATAATTATAATGAATAATAATTACCAAATTCTTTGTTGCCTGTAGAAAGTCTGCCACATAATTATCTAAAATAAGAGAGTAATGCAAACATGAAAAATTGATTATATATGAAGAAAAACAAGTTCTAATTAGTTTCCTATTCTGAAGAAAGAACAGTCAAATAAGAAGCCAAAACCCTGCTTGTATGTTTTGAAAACTCTAGCATGCATCAAACTGAATTCTATAATAACTGAAAGTATTTTTCTAAATGATCAAGTATAAAATAAAGATATCTGAAAATAATAAGTTCCATTTTCTTGCTAGAATTCTACACCTGTTTCTGATATTTTAATCTGGAATTAACAAACGCTTTATTTATGCAATTGATTCTTCCCTCTCTCAACAGTTTTTTGATATATCTGTATGTTATTTGATTTCCTAAGAAATCTGGAAGCAATTATTTTCTTACGGATGGCCACAAAAGGAAACATTAAGAAACTATTTTCCCATATCTTGGAATGATGTGGAGTTATTTGTTTCTTATTTTTAGAAATCCAAAAGAAGAAAAACATGGATTTGAGAGGTCTTCAGATATGCTGAAATTGTTATGTTATGAAGTCCAATGTATTTTTTTTTTTTCAAAAATCAAAATACTGTTAGGGTATATATTTTTGTGAGCTGTCATATTCCAGTTAAATTAATGGAACTTTTTGAATTGAATACTGAAATTAATCCATGTACCTTAATAAAGTACTAAACTTAAAATATTTTGAGCAATTGGGGAAAATATCAGTATTTATTCAGCACTGAAAATTAACATCGAAATATTTGCCTCTAAGCTTTATTTATTACAGTCAAATAAATAACCATGAAAAGTTAAGTATCTACTATTTTAGAGTAGCAGGAAAATTTTGGAAAGTGTCATAACTCTGTATTCTCAAATGTAGCACGGGTTCAGTTTTAACCAATTTCAATTAAGACAGAGGAAATAAGTTTTGAACTGAATACTTCTCATCTTCTGGCACAATTCAAAGTGCTGTCTTCAAAAAATATCACTCTAAATAATTAAATCCTACACTGAGATGATTTCAATTGTTGCTCTATTGAATCAAAGGAACTATAAAGCATCTTTCCAAATTCTGGTGCTCACTGGATGTATTTGAACTATAACTTCCATACTAGGTGAGGATGAGGATCAGGAAAGCTGTACAGGTAGTCCTTGGTTAACGACCACTCGCTGAATGACCGTTTGAAGTTATGACAGCATTGAACGAATGGTGGTTATGACTGGTCTTTGAAGTTCTGGCCATCCTAACACACCCGCAGTCATGTGACCAGAATCTGGGCAATTGGCAATTGGTTTGCACTTACGACAATTGCAGGGTCCCACAGTCATGCGACTATAATTTGTGACTTTCCCTCCCAGCTTCCCACAAGCAAAGTCACTTGCACACCTTCCCCAGCCACTCATGCAACCTCTCCAACCTGACAGCAGCCACCTCAAGCCCCACTGCACTTGTGCTGTGCCTTCCCAGCCACCCACGCACCCCCTTGCTCCCTCTCCCATGCGGCAGTAGACATTTACCTGCCTGCCGGCCTGCTTGCAAGCCGCCTGGGATCTGCAACTTCCTGCCAGCTTCCCCACTGACTTTGGTTGTTTGAAGCCAGCATGAAGTTGCGAGGAAGTGCTCATTTAATGACCTACGATCCTCGCTTAATGATGGCAACGCAGACTGCAGGGATTGCTGTTGCTAAGTGATGTAGTCACATGACATTGTACTTTGTGACCGCATTGCTTAGCAACAGAAGTTCCAGTCCCAATTACCATCGTAACTCGAGAACTACCTGTAGTCCAATGTATGTGAAAGATAGCTGTTGGGATGTGACTGAGATGCTAATATTTCATCTATCAACAGTCCAGAAAGTCTCTGATTTTAGTCATCTTCAAATACCGCCTACGTGTAACTAACAAAATGGAATTGTAATTACTACCTTTTTATTGATAAGCCTGTTCAGTCTTATACTATAAAGAAGACCTATATTCTCATTTATACTCATGTTTGCATATTTATTTAAGGTTTAAATTGTGCAGAACATGTACTCCCATTCAATCCAACACAAATATAGTTCCCCCTTTAAACTCACCAGCTAGAGGTTAAGGAGAGTATGAAATGGGACAAGTGACTGCCTAAAGATGGATGTAACAATGCATGTCTGAATAGTTTATTATCACTACAATTAAAATTCCAATTAGCAGACTTCAGATGCAACAAACTCTATTTCTACCCACATAACCCTCAAAGGATATACTTACAACTTTTATGTAATGATATCATTACACACATGATTCAAACGATATCATTGGCATTAGTTTACATCATGTGTGTAATTACATCATTATACAGATGACAAATGCAATGACATTCTTTCATGTTTAACAGATATTTGGAAGTAACAGATACCTCTCTTCTCAACAGGCCTGTTAAAATGTGGCCTCATTGTACTTCTATGCAATTTTTGAGTATGTATAGTGCTCTGTAACATACTTCATTAAACACTCAAAACCAACTCATAAATTAAGTCCAAGATAACTCAACCAAATACGCCATGCCTCGTGGCCAACCAGGTTTCTGAACTCAAATGTGTAGTATCCAAATGCACAGCACAACAGTCTCTTGATGTTTTAATTTTCTACTTTAGTTGCTAATATATTTTTAAATGATTGTTTTAAAATATAACCATTTAATTAAAAAAAAGCATTAATTACCTTTTTCATCATCACAACTTTTGCCTAAGAAAGGTGGTATTTCTGCTTGGTATTGTGAACCAATCATTATTTCCTGAAAAAATCAGAACATGTAGCATTGTCACCATACGTAAATCCATGTCTCATCAAGATGATATATATTTAGGAACCAAAAGACCAGGATTCAAATGCTGTCCTTTCCCAAGATCCAAACCCACACATATTTCCATGCTCATACTGGGATCAGGACAAACCTCTCCTTTACCATCAGGACATTCAGACAGATCTCCTACCCTTTAAGTCAGGGTTCCTCAACCTCAGCAACTTTAAGATGGGTGGACTTCAACTCCCAGAATTCCCCAGCCAGCATGAATTAGAATTCTGGGAGTTGAAGTCCACCCATCTTAAAGTTGCTAAGGTTGAGGAACCCTGCTTTAAGTTACAGCTGAAATGGGGAAGTAAAACACTTTCAAAGGCAAGTACAATTTCGGAACATTAAGACCAGCAATAAATGTAATTCTAGGACATATTCACACATTTTAATTTCAGTCTTTAAGTATGCAGAACATGTACATAAGTTTATGTATTACTATAGATAATTTTAAGAATTACCTTCCGCAAATCTTCAGATGAATTACCAGTATCTACTTCTACATCTTCACCATCAGATTCTTTATCACCATCACATGTAGTGTTTGCTTTTTACAAAAGAAAAAGAGTGTTGACTGAAAATTATTTAATAATTTTAACATAATATTGAAGTAAAACAAAGTCTCCTCAAATCAAGTTCAATTCCTGATGACTCCATATACATAGCTATGCGCTTTATATTTTATTTAGTAACTAAATTTTTATATTACCCCAATCAGATGATTCTGGATGATGGACGCACAGAAGAGGCCCAGTCTGAACCCAAAACATCTGTTTCTAACTTTAAACATTTCCAGAATGGTTTGAAAAGCACCGAAAAACATTTTTAATAAGGGTGGGAGAATTGGAAACATTTTGCACACCACTAATTCCAACATTGTAGAATTATAAATTTGATTATAAGTGACTTTCAAAAGGAAATTGCAACCCCCCACAAACCTTATACACATTTTGTCTTCAGCAAATCAATATATAAAACTCTGAAAAGGAAAAAAATAACTAACCACAAATATTCACTCTAGCTACCTACCTACCTACCTATTTATATGGCCACCCAACTTGCAGAAATGTAGCTCCAGGCAGTCCACAACAATAAAAACAAAATCACAGTATTCCAACAATAAAAAATCAACAAGACCAAAACAAATATTTGGGGCACACCAACATGTTGTCCACCTACCAGGAAGAGCTCATCTAACATCCTGGCCCTAACATCTTGCCTAAATAATATCTTATTTAGCAATCTTATGTTTCTAAATTGCATTTACTTAATAGATTTCATGACACTTTCTAAGATTTGTTTCTTTGCAGGTACAATTGCTCATTTTTGCTGAAGTCTGGATGGGTAGAACCACATGAGATGAAGGGGGTGATATCTGGCAATGTGATCTGGGATTGTGGAACCCAAGTAAGTGGATAGGCTGCCCCACCTGCAGACTGCACCCATGCCCCTCTTAGTTCCTTTGTGTGACTAAGCAAGATAAGTATGCCTGGATTGGAAAGTGATTAATGTTCCCAGAGGGAGGCTGTGATGCTGCCTGCCCTTGAGGAACATATTAATTAGCTGTACAGGTATCCCCAGGTTAAGAATGCCCAAGTTACAGATGACCCATAGTTAAGAAAGGAGCCTACTGTAGCAAAATTTGAGTTAAATACACGATTCGAGTTAAATACACAATGATTCGAGTTAAATACACAATGGCTCGAGTTGATTACATAATACTACTTATACCGTATTATACAACAATACTGTTGTGGCTTACATATAAATTTGACTTAAGGACAGACCTTGGGAACGGAACTCATTCTTAAACTGGGGACTACCTGTATTAGACAAATTCTGCCCTGTCTCCAATCTTCCTTTCTTAGGGAAGGATGCTGAGAACATGGTATGGACTCAGTTACAGAGGATCCTAAAGAAAGCTAATTATCTAGATTCTTTAAACAGGATTCAGGCTCATTCAGAGGATGGAAATAGCATTTATTGCTTTGCTGGATGACCTCCATTGAGACATGGATAGGGGGAAATGCAAACCTATTAGCTGCATTCAATATTGTCAACCATGGTATCCTTTCAGTTTCTGAGATTTGGAGGCACAATTTTAGAGTAATTCTACTCCTGAGCAGGTAATTCTAGTCAGTAGTCATGAGACAAGAGCAACTGAGCCTGTAGTTACTCAGTGTGGAATATTAGAGCTCAATCCTCTCCCCCATGTTGTTTAACATCTATATGAAAACACTGGAACAGATCGTCTATTGGTTTGAGGTGAGGTATCATCGGCATGCTGATAATACTCAAATTATACACTGCCATTCCAGGCCATGCCAGAGATGCTCTGGATGTTTTGAACAAGTGCCTGGAGGCTCTAAGGGACTGGATTTGGAGAAAAAAGCTCAGATGAAACCAGAGGAAAGTTGAGTTGCTATTCACTTGTAAATAGCATGGTTTTCTTGTCACAGATCTACTGATTGCCATAGATGGAATCATACTCCTCTGAAGGAAGAGTTCTGTCCTTTTGCATAGCTTCACCCTGGCACCATGTTAGAACCATACCAATTAAATTCTTAACTTTATTTTTACAACCATATCACTTAGTACAACAAAATGGATTAGAAATAAACTAAAATCTATTCTTGGAAGGCACTACTATGCTTAAATTTGAAAATGCACCAAGTCTAGCAGAATGTGTTCTTCAGACCAAGACAGATGACTAACAGTCTCACAGTTTCAATACACTTAATTAGTGGTATTGATTATATATCCTTACATCTTAAAGGTCGAGGAAAAAAATCTGTTGTTTCATGTGAAGTAACTGAGGGTGTCAAATCGTCAGCAGAAGACTGTGTTTCTTCATCATCTCCTGACAAAAGGTCTTTGGCTATTTCCTCCTATAATCAAAAGAATCAAGCATTAGTATCATTCATGTCTGGAAGAATTAACTAATAAAGCTGAGTTCTGATTCAACAGGAATCCAGAGCCGGGTGGGGGGGACCAATTCAGGGTGATTTTTCACCTCAAGTTGTCATACTGAAAATTAACGAAGGTGGAACAGAAGGGCCTAACTTGCCTTGTCCCTAATTCAAAATCCTCCAATAAACTCTGTCTCTGAGCCCAGCATGTGAATGAGAAGGCAGCAAAATGCATGGAAAACAGAAAAAAAATATTTTTGATACTAACATTTGATGCTTGCTAGTGTGCTAAAACAACTGGATGGGGAGAGATGGATTGGATTCACTGACTAATGTGTCTGTTCTCCTATCACTGGATCACTACAATCAGATTACATTGGGTTTTTCAATCTGGGTGAAGAAAACAACCTAAAAGAGAATCTTAGTTCAAGTATTTGCTTATTTCTTTCTTCTGTCTAGCTTTAGAAACTACAGGAATTGTTATGGTTGTTCTTATTTATCTGATTGGCTTAAGGACTATACTATTTTATATGAAAAATATGAGTGAATTAATCTTTTTTTTTCCCCCCACAATTTACCCAACAATCAGCTCCAAGCCATTCATGAGCCAATTTTTGTCACCTCTTTTCCTTTGAGCAAAATCTACTTTCCAGTAAAATGTCATACAACCACTTCGCTACAGAGTCCTTTTCACTGCAAATGTTATTACTTTCCGTCTCAGAACAAAACAAAACAAAACAAAAACTATGGGTACTTTTTTTATAAAGTCAGAATGTAAAGCTTAGTTTGAAGACCTTTGCACTAATCTGCAATACATTTGTTATTCTTCATCTCTTTATAGCTATCTAGCTTTCCTGTGAATTTCATCCTGTTCTAGTGGTACTTTTAAAAAGCTACTTTAAAGGAATTGTTCAAAAACCTCTGCATTAATTTCTATGAAATACATGCTTCCATCATGTAGAATGTTTTCATTTCCCTGCAAGTTTTATTTCTCTCTCTCTCTCTCTCTCTCTCTCTCTCTCTCTCTCTCTCTCT